CCCAAAGAGAAATCACTGGCCTACTGCGGGGATCCAAAATATTATTTTCAGCTCTGTTAATAAGGTTGTTTTGTGTGTGTGTGTGTGTGTGTGTGTGTGTGTGTGTGTGTGTGAGGAGTGAGTTGAGAAACTGAAGTCGTTTCCAGTGTGAGAGAATTGGCCGTCTGCAAGGACGTTGCCCAGGGGACGCTTGGATGCTATGATGTTTGACCATCCTTGTGGGAGGCTTCTCTCATGTCCCCACATGGAGAGCTGGAGCTGACAGAGGGAGCCCATTCGCACTCTCCTCAGATCCGAACCTCTGACCTGTCAGTCTTCAGGCCTGCCAGCACAAGGGTTTAACCCATTGCACCACTGGGGGCCCCTCCAGCTTTCCATGCGGGGACATGAGAGAAGCCTCCCACAGGATGGTAAAGCATCTGGGTGTCCCCTGGGCAACGTCCTTGCAGACAACCAATTCTCTCACACCAGAAGCAATTTGCAGTTTCTTAAGTCGCTCCTGACACAAACACACACACACAAGGTCAATGCTATGGCATTCTGGAGTTTGGATTTGAACCTCCGACCTGTTGGTCTTCAGTCCTGCTGGCACAAGGGTTTAACCCACTGTGCCACCAGGGGCTCCTAATAAAAAGGTGACAATAATAAATACATTTACAGTTGGCCCTCCATATTTGTAGATTTGACTTTTATGGATTTCATTTAAATAGATTATCTCCAGGAATCTAGCTGCTCAGTTGTGACTCTGTGGAACACCTCTCTAGTAAGTCTTCCAGCGTAAGTCTGTGTGAGCCTGTGGTCAAACTTCCTGTAGAGGTTGATCATGGAGTCATGCTAGAGGACCTAGAAATTCCTAGGTTTTAAAAAATGTGTGTTTCTTTTATTTTTTTCCCATTTTTGTGGGGCTCCTATGCCCCTAAACTCAGCAAATGTGGAGGACTGCCCTTTTTTGACATTAGTACTCATCCATCAGAAGCAGTTGTCTTACTTTGTTCTAATGGCAGGGATGGTTCTTTCTTAAAGTCTTAAGTTAAAGTGAAATCAATGCAACTCACTGACTTCTATGTGTGCAGATTTACAACTATGTGTTGACCTCTCTTTTTAAATGCATTTCATTGAAAGGAAGAATTGTTGATGTATAGAGATCTCCTTCTGATTCTCAGGATTGTAATCTAAACCATCTGTTATTAATGTTGGAAAAGAAACAAAGTTTTTCAGGAACGGCCTAATAGTTAATTATTTGGCTTTAAGCATGTGACTAAGATATTTGTAGAATGAGAAAAAATGCTTTTAACAATGATAAGTATATATTAGTTTTCAACCTGGCACCTTCAGTTGATTCTTATGCAATGTTCAGAAATGAATTAGGAAACAATTCAATATATGAACAGGCTCATTTTTCAGGCAAAATTGTTATACAAAAGGGAAATCAATGGAAAACTATTATATAAAACTATTGGTAAATGCTTTGTAGCACAGCTCCTTTCAGTCAGAAGAATGTTTAACCACAAGCCACCGTAGTGTGCTCAAGATGTGTACTTTTCTTTTAAAGGCTGGCAATAAAAAGTTATTGTGTCTTCAGAGAATACAGGAGTTTTTGTAATCAGATTTATTACTTCGTATGAAAAATGCCTTGACTGCCAAATGCCCAAGTATGGAATCTTTTACAAACCAATCCATAGATGGTATCTACACTTATAATCTTCATTTAACACAATAAAAAGAACTAATCAAGGCTGTTGGGGGACTGGCCTTCATGAAATTACACAAAAATGATTGAATATTAATATCTAATACAATTTGCATATCATGCTGGTTTCACAACAGTCCATGTGAAAAATATCTTGGAGTCATACTGGATAACCTGTTAAAGATGATAGACATTATGATGCAGCAGCTAAAAAAGCCAATGGGATTTGGGGCTGAATCAAAAGGAGTATAGTGTTTAGATCAAGGGAAATAATGGGGCCCCTCTATCATGCTTTGGTCAGACCTCACCTGGAATACTGTGTCCAATTCTGGGCATCACAATTCAAGAGGGATATTGACAAGCTGGAAGGTTTCCAGAGGAGGGCAACTAAAATGATCAAATGTCTAGACACCATGCTCTATGAGAAGCAGGTTAAGGAGCTGGGTATGTTTAGCTTGCAGAAGAGAAAGTTGAGAGGAGACATGATACTCATATATAAATATGTGAAAGAATGTCTTAAGGAGGAGGGAGCAGGTTTGTTTTCTGCTGCCCTGGAAACTAGGACTCAGAGCAATGGGTTCAATTACAGGAAATGAGATTCCACTTGACTTTAGGAGGAACTTCCCAACTGTAAGAGCTGTTCAACAGTGGAACTCTCTGTCTTGGAGTGTGATGGAAGCTCCTTCCTTCGAGGCTTTTAAACAGAGGCTGGGTGACCATCTATCAGGAGTACTTTGTGCTTTTCCTGCATGGCAGGGGGCTAGACTAGATGGCCCGTGTGGCCTCTTCCAACTCTATTATTCTATGACTCTATGGAAATTCCAGGAAATTCCAGGTTTGTGAAGCACTTGGTTAAAAAACTTATGAGAACTGCGATCCTGCCAAAACAATTTTCTGCATGATAATTCTGTCATATCAGGTGATAAAAGTCCTTCAAAAGAAGCAAAAAGAAAACAAAGAGAAACACTACAGCGCCAAGTAGCTGTTTTACACTGACTTATGATTTTGACCATAGAAGGGAGACAACAAAACTTCTGTGTTGGGAAGAAGAACTTGGCCTTATATGCTAAACATTACATGCAGATTTTATGACAGCTATGTAGCCTTTCTTGTATGATGATCACAATTGAAAAATGTACTTTCTGCATCAGTTTAGAAGCTGCAGCAGAAAGCATACAACATTATACTTTATCCTATAAAGCCACACATTATTTACATTTTTGGTTGATTTTCAAAAGAAAGAACTGCAAGATGGTAGATCTGTCAAGCCAGGAAACCCTGTATCAACTTCTTACAATGTATGCTTGGGATTTCAATCTTACTTTGAGGTTATGCCTGAAGGAATCTTATTGCACCTTTGAGACTAATTGGGAGAAAGAAATTTGTAGCCAGGTATCTCTAGTTAGATACATGACATTGATTGCCATTTATGAAAGATGGTTTTCAGAAAGAGATAGTTGTTCTGAGCTGATTTTATCTCATTTCCTCTTTTTGTATGATCAACATGGGAGCCCGAGAAAGCAACACTTGCCTCCCCAGTACTTTCCCTTTACTTCAGACTGAAATAAAAATGTCACCTGTTATTCATGACTCCCAAGCTTCATCAGTGTGTACATACAAGGAAGGTTAAGGGTGGAATCTAGACAAAAGAGCAATCATGCGGAAGGGTGAGAAAACCTCAAACATTCTTTTAATCATGTGATGTCTACAGAATCCAACAGTACTTGCATGTCTGAAAGATACATTACAGACCAAATAGCAGTCAGAACTTCGGTATTACTTAATGTCTCAAATGCAATCCCTATTGAAAGAATCAGTTTAGATATGCGGCTGCCAATCATCAAATGTTGCGTAATCAATTGATGCGAAACCCAATTAAAGGCTGGCATATATACCACCCTCGTTCAATTGTAAAAGTGACTATTCCAACCTCCATCATCTCTTGGTGATCTAAGTGAGTATCACACAAAAGAGTCCTATCACATAGCACAACAGGGAATTCAGGTATTCTGTCATCTTTCAAGAACTTGGAGGGTACATGATGATCAGCTATATGATCATTTTGAAGATCCAAGATTGCTTTCAACTGGGCTGCCATTGAATTGTAAAAGCCTGCAAGTTTAAGAGGGATTTGTTCAACTGCTTAATTGTGGATTCAAATTTTGTATTAACGGTTGCAATTGTAAAAGAGTTCCAGATTTTTTCTGAAAAGTTCTCTAGCTGCATAAAAGCCACCCTCGCTGCCACCACCACTGTACAGATGGCAGAGTAGAAAGAAAATTAATGCTATACTATAATTTGGGAAGGTATAATAACATGGTACATGCTTGCCGAGTGCTATCATTGCCTGCAAACTTGGATTATTATAATCAGACATTAATGCAATGATGGTTTGCACATTTCCAAAGAATGACCCTCCCCCCTCAGGAAGACAGAAATTTTAACTTTGAATTATTTGCTCCATAGTTCTCTTACTGAACTCAGTAAAACTAGTTGTCAAAAGTGAGTTATGAACTACAGCCCAAAATTACAAAAGACATGAACAACAGTGTCTTTCTCCTTTGGGTGAGTTTGACAATATTTCTTGATTACTCAGCCCCTTTTAGCTCGACGCCCCCCTTCTTTTTTAGTGCTTTGACCACATATTTCAGCTAAACTGTCCCACAGAGACCCATAAAGCATTGAGCAATTATTATTGTTTTCATTTCCTTTCTCCCACCCCCAACTTCCATTTCCATTTCCTTGAATTCCACCAACCCATGGAGCAATGGTTTATGTCAGAAAAAACAGAACTTGTCAGAATCAAGTTTGCTTTAAGAAATCTTCAGGAACATGAATTTAAGCTGTCTTTAATCTCTTTTCTGTTGTGTACTTTACAAAGCATAGTCTGCCATAACCCAAAACTTCACTATCCAAAGTCATTTGCAACATTTAAAACCAACAAGCTTTACAAGAAGTCCATAAAAGCCCGCTGTTCCGTGTCCTTCCTTATACATTGGCTCATGCTATGATTTCTCAATCCTGCTCTCCTTACTTCTTTCTTGGTCTCTCTTGGATTAATATCACATTTCCTGTCAAGGAAACCCCACTGGCTGTAAAGTTGGCTTAAAGCTTTCCAGGATTGGCTCAAAAGGAGCCAGACTGCAAGAAGTGGGATCAATGAACTGCTCACATCTGTTCACAGCTGAGATCCAAAAAGAGAGAGAGCGAGAACATGAGTGTGATTGTGAGTTTATGACTCTCCCTGTTCTCACAGTTTGGGAGATGGGGAAGTTTCCAAAATAAGAGGGGGAGAGAGCGATGTTCTTACCTGTGATGGCCAAGCATGGGACAGTGACACCTGGCATGCTGCTGAGGAGGAGAGAGGGGAAGACCCTTGTTGCAGAACAAAAGGAGCCCAGCCAGGACGGATATCCAGGAGAGCAGCAAGGGGACCTCTGCTGTTCACAGAACGTCTGCTAAGTCCAGAATGCTGTTCCTCTGGCTGCTTCTGGTCCCCTTCTGCATTTGCAGCAGCAATCGCAGTCCAGTGAGGCATTTCCTGTTTGTTGTTCAAGCCCTTTAACTTTTCCTCCCCCTACACATCAAAATGAATTATCCCCCTCCTTTATTAGCCCTCACTCCCCATCCTCTCTGAAGAAGTGGGCTGTCAGCCTTTGAAACCCCCACGTGGCAGGATCCAAGAGCCCAGAGACATGTACAAATAAAGTCAGATCTTTAACAGCTAGTGTTTAGGCTAAAGTCTGCAGGCAGCAGAGCAAACCTTAAAGGGACATCTGCAGCTGATAATTAATGGGTGTCTCTCCAGCTACCAGGCAACTTGTACCAAATACTCAGAGTGAGAAGGCAAAGGGGTTTTTTTGGGACCCACCCCTTGATCATGTCTCTTTTTCCATTCCTGCCCTTTCTTTTTAAACTGTGTTTTTAACTGCTCTCTCCTTTGCAAGAAACAAATCATAGCTGTGTTACAAGAAGTGTGTGTGAAATTCGCATTTCAACAGCCTTGCAAACTGAAGCTGCTCTTTGTTGGTCTAATTTTATTCCACTTACATCACTCTTTAAAAATGTGTCTGATCTATACTGTGGCATATTACCCTAAAGGAAATCTCTGTAGAAGGTTGGTATTATATGCCCTAACACAAGACTTTGTGGAACACTCCAAACAAATTAGAGCTTGGAAAAATTTACCGTTACTGTGCTTTAGACTACCACTCCCACAGTCCTGCAGACACCACGTCCAATGGCTATGGAACAAGGTTTGGGAATCCATTGTTTGCAGGCCAAAATTGCAAATTGTGGCTTGACCTTGTGTTTAAGTTTCATATTCACAGTTGTTTTTAAAATCATTTTAAAGTTATCATACCTTGCTTTAAAGGAGTCCTCATCTCATTCAATCTTCAATCAGTCCATGAGGCATTGTCCTTCAGCCTCAATTACCTAGTTGTCAGGAAAATGGTGACATTTCTTAGACTGTTACTTAAATAACTTTAAATTCTCCTGTGTTTGAAAGATGGCCCAAGTTCTGAAACAGAACAATATTGAATTAATTCGTATGCCTGCTGAGAATTCAGTGAACATTCCCACTTCTTAACAGTTTCTTCATGTCTGTTACCTTTTGCATTGGTACTCTTTTGTGCTTTCCAGTCATTTCTCTCTTATGGTGATCCAAAGCCTTAACCTATCACGGAGTTTTGTGGAATTTGAGAGCATATCACTTGTCCAGGTCAGCCAGTGGTTTTTCATGGCTGAATGGGGAATAAACCCTGGTCTCCAGAGCCGTAACCCATTACTCAAACCACTATGCCAAATATGGTGAACCATCATGTCATAAAATGAATGTGCTAGGAGGAGCTGTAGCAGTTTGCTTTGCCTGATTGTTTTGGGAAGGGCAAGGTTGAATCTACCTTTCTTCCTTACTGCTGAGTTAACTGAATCCATTTCCAGCTCCATGTATAACAACTGAGATAAGGTGAGGAAAAAAAGAGAAAATGAAGGAGAGAAAAGTAGGACATTTTAAAATAAGCTGAAAAAATGGGACAGGCAGAGTTTTTCTTCTAAGAGATGCACACCTAAAAAACTGAGATTCCTAAGGTGAAAATATATATTGAATGTGTACTACTGTTCACACAGATATATGGATTTCTAGGACCCTTAAGCTCGGGAAGAAAGCAGGGATACATTTTGATGCAAATATATTTGTGGAACTAACAGATGAATGATGAACTATTTTAAAGTTCATGAACTTCCAACACTGGCAAACATTATGGGAGTGATATGTTAACCAAAGGAGCCCCCGGTGGCGCAGTGGGTTAAAGCACTGAGCTGCTGAGCTTGTTGATCGAAAGGTCGCAGGTTCGATTCCAGGGAGCAGCTTGAGCTACCGCTATCAGCCCTAGCTTCTGCCAACCTAGCAGTTCGAAAACATGCAAAATGTGAGTAGATCAATAGGTACTGCTCCGGCGGGAAGGTAACAGCACTCCATGCAGTCATGCCAGCCACATGACCTTGGAGGTGTCTACGGACAACGCTGGCTCTTCGGCTTAGAAATGGAGATGAGCACCACACCCCAGAGTCAGACATGACTGGACTTCATGTCAGGGGACTACCTTTACCTTTACCTATGTTAACCAAACCAGGTGGCTAAAGCTTGCCTTTTTCTGGTAATGGTGATTGCTGTCTTTATACACATGAATACTTATATGGGTTCAACCATTTTGATTACTGCCATTATAGTTTTGCCTACAGCGCTGCCTGATGGTAACCAGGGAGAACCTGGATGTCTTCTTTGTGAGCAAATAATTCCTCTAACTAGTCAAACTAGAACTCCCTTGATTCCATAGAACTCACATGTCAATTAAAGTGGTGTCAAACTGCATAAATTGTAGATGCACCAAGATTATTTAACAGTTGAACTTCAGGTGAGATTTTGTGTGTGTGTGTGTGTGTGTACGTCATGCAAGATGGGAAAACTAAGAGCACTCATAACAAAAACCTCAATTCAACCAGGAGCTGCAGAAAACACACTATGATTATGATTATGGAGGAAGTGAATGCATCTTTGACAGATGTTATCTGTACATGAGGTGGTTTACATCTCTGTTTGATCAGCAGCAGTAAATGATAAAACATGAGCCAATAGCACAGCTAGAGAGACCCCAGTTGTGCCTGATGGGGACTTCCATGATGCAGATGAGTAACTGAGCTTGTTATTGTCAGTAACTAAACATCAGGAATTTGCTACCAGCAACTTTAAAGGTGTAAAACTGGTAAATAAGCCCCAGAAATGAGAAACCAGTAAACAGAATGATAGGCCTTTCCCTCCAAGGCAGCTCACATTATCAGGTAAAAATACAGCGAAAACAATAGATAATACAGAAATATACAAACTAGGGCTAAACTAAAAAAAACTAGGGCACGACTAAAAAAAACCCTGCTTTGTTTGTCTTTACAAAATTTGTGTGCACTTCGTTTTGATTCTAAAGTATTTTGAACAATTTCTAAGGGGTCCAGGTCCTACCTAATACAAAGTGATGCAAAATTAGTTATTTTTTCCCTTTCTTTATTTAAAACCTACAACAGCTAAGCTATACCTAGTGGAGGAGGAGGCCTCATAGGAACTGGGGTGGCTTTTCTCCTTCTACCTCCAAGCCTTACGAAAGCAGGTCCTGCCCTACAGTGGGCCTGGGAAGAGCCACAGTCCTGACCGGGGCGGGGGGGGGGGTTGGGTCATCTGGTGTGAGAGTTTCAGGTCCTGTGCTGGTGGAACAGGAGCCCCCCCCCCTCCCACGCTCAGTTGGCCTTCCCCTTGTGGTGAGCCATGTGCATGAGAGTCCCTGCTCAAGATTGCAGGCCCTTCTCCATTARGGAGTGAGGGGCTCTTCCTCCCCTAGGTGAGTAGCTCATCACAAGGGGGAAGCCAACAGAGAGTGGGGGAGARAGAGGGAGGGGTAGCAGTCCTGCTGCTGCCACGAGGGCACAAGGAGTGAGAGGGAGGCAGAGAGTGGGAGGAAGGGAATGAAAACATACTAAAAAAAAAACAAATTTCTTTATTAAAATTCAGAAGTGAGTGTTTTGGTTCATTTGTGTTTGAAAGGGGGGTGGCTGTGGGAGGTCATAAATCGGGTTGTATGTACAGATTTAACGAAATACTTTCAATTTATGACTCTCTTACTATTTTTTGCACAGCCCTAATAAAAAACTATTAAATAATCATATTTGAAACATCAATGTAGAATTGTTAAAACTAGTTATAATAATGATTATGAAAATGTATTGCACCCTAATTAGAAGAATTTCTGCATCAGCCAGTTAACAGTCAAAGGTCTTTGCCTGCTGGTAAAAGGAGATGGAAGGTGGCAGGGGCACCTCCTGGAGCAGCCACTGAGAAGGTCTTCTCTTTGGTCCTCACCAAACATGTGATGGTGGTGGGACCAGGAAACAGTCCTTTCTGAAAGAGTTTTTAAAAACTGACAGATTAATATGAAGAAAGGCAATCTTTCGATAATCTAAACCTATGGTATTTTGGAGATGAAAGACTAGCAAGCTGTCTTGGAAGTGAGAGGCTTGCCAGATGTCAATGACAGCCATAGATTAATAAAAATGATGCTCCTGTAAACTTTGTAAAAATAAATCTTCAGTTATATTCTATGAAAACTTTAGCATGATGTGGGAAGGAATGACAATGCCTTTACTGCTAGCACATACAGTGGGCCCTTGGTATTCACTGGAGTTTGGTTCCAGGATCTCCCATTGATCTCCAAGTGATATGATATGCAGTGGTGTAGTAATGGTGATACAAAATGACAAAAGTGAGGTTTGCATTCTGGAATTTTAAAAACATATTTTCAAGCCATGGATGGTTGAATCTGTGGATGCAGTATCTGAGGAGACAGAGGGCTGACGTATTCTGAAGACAGGGTTGTGTAGTATGAGGAATTGGGAACTCTAAGGAAACCCAGTGAGACTGGTGGCTTTCTGACCCATTTGAGATTCTCGCCTTTGTAGTAAACAGGAAAACGGAGAGAAAGGGAACTGATTGGCAGATAAATTAAATTGGATTCAAGCAGCCATAGCTTACTCAGTCCAGGGCCTCAGAGGATGGGATGATGTCACAAAAGAGATTAGCCTGGGAAACATTTCAAGAATAGCAAAAATGATGATGGTGTTTCCAGAATCTAAGGTTTTGGAGGTCTCCACAGTAGGGAATTAAAATGCATAAGGTCTTACTGCAGTTGTTAGTCTCAACTGGAGGAGACATTAAGTGCCAATTTACTATTCAATTATTGAATTGCAAATGCCATTTGTTGAATGGATCTGTTATAGCTAGAACTAGTGGATGGGCTTAACTCATAGAGAACTGTGTTATACAATGGTCAATCTAACTCTGTACTGTATGCTTTAAATGGTAGTTACTCTCGCCAGTGTTAAAGTATCAAACTAGAAAAAACAATTAAAATCCAGTTTCTGCCTTCTGCAGATTTCTGGAGTTTGTAGTTTAAGAAAGAGCCTTTAACAGCCTCACTAAACTACAAACCCCAGAATTCTGCAGGAGGCAGAAACCAGATTTTAAGTGGATTTTTTCTCTAGTGTGATGTATAGATGTTGGGGAGTGGAGCAATGATCTTCTGTAGGTAGATCCTGTGGCAATCATATGCCCATTCATGCATAGAAATAAATATTTTGCAAACTTTAGAACCCAAATATTTGTAGCATTTGGGTAAACAGTTGAAAAAAAGTAAAAAATATGTTTACAATTACAATTTTTACTGATATGATATTTGAGATCTTAATGAAAATGCTATTTTCCTGCTTTAGTCTAAATCCTATTTGCACATTCATTTCAGGAAACAGGATTAATAATGGATAG